ATAAATTCCTGTATTGAATTTTCAAATGGTTAGATTTGAATAACAGTAAAATAAGTTCCCAAGAAAGGCAACAGGCAGAAGGTGCAGAACATTCCCTCTTGGTCTTGGACGAGAAACTACGTCGTTTGAATGCTAGAAAGGAAAACATAGAAAACGTAAAGTGCTGGGCCTGGGAAGAATTAAAGTAGGGGTTGTAAGATGTACCGTAATAGCTGAAAGGTACTCGAGTAGTGGTTTAATTAGACAGTGCGGGGCCGCGAAAGTGGATGGCAACAGAGTATCAGGTTTGAATACGACATTCGAGGAGAGCATCGGACGGTGTTAACGTGACGATAAACTTCTGCAAAATTTATCACATCCATCATTAATTGAGTAAATCTTCTCTGTCTTACACTACAGTGACGCTATATTAAAACACTGTAAGGGATCTCCTTCACGCAACTGACGCCATTACACTCCCTTTTATCCCTTTACGTCCCATTCCCGTCAGTGATAATACCCCTGATTAGCTCCTGTCCAGCTCTCCAGGCCCAGTTTCCTTTCTTGATATCTCCAGGCTAGCTAAGTTAAGCTACCCGTCGACTTAAACCCCACGTAACAGCTTCTAAATCTCCTTCTTGATTCTTGATCACAAGATTGTGAAAGTGAAAGGCCTCTCCTATCTTGAGTTTTACCAATGACGTACGTCAGGGTCACTGTTGTTTATTTGTACTTGTATTTACTGTGCACATGTATGATAGAAGTACAGTGAGAGCTTTATCATTGTATGCATATTATCAACGCGTGTAAAGCACGAAAAGAACAGACACGAAAATCAAGCGAGTGGGGTGGCGCTGCGTTTATTGAAAGCTTGTGTACGGAGTTTCTGAAACGGAGTTTTAGCTATCGACGGCAAACTCGGGGGGGCTTTCTTTTGTTTTCTCAAGCAAAAGATTTGATGACGAATTAAGACAAAAATAAAAAGAAAAAGAAAATAAAAGACAACGTTAGCATGACGACATCACTCGAACAGATCAACTCTGAACAGTAGCTTGGATCTCTTGTCAAACCTGATATTAGTTGCCAGACGAGCCACGTGGACCCACTCACTTCAACTTCTTTTTGATTGAATGAAAATTAGTCTTAATCTATTTATTAATTTTTTTTTCTAGTGTCCAATAATTGTTACAACTATTGGGTAAGTGTGATCGACCCACGTGCGCAGGTGAGTCTTAATAAAAGTTATTTCAGGTAACAGCGAACTTTTGAGTGAGTGACTCAAAGCAAACTTGAAATGTGTGGACTTGACATCATCACGTGCCACAACAGGGTGAATTTTTTTTTATTTTTTTTCATGTTTGATCCGGTTTGCACAAATTTTAATTAATTTTTTGAATCTTTAAAATTATTAATTAGAAAAAAAATTCTAATGATTACTTATATTAGCATGGAAGGTAGATTTGAACGGATGAAACAGAAGTGGATGAGTCATGATCTACTCTCAATTTTTTAAAATAATATTAATATGTATAAATTATAGATTTTGATCTACCTTAATAAAAATATTAATGTGTAATAAACTTTTATTTTGACATATTCTAACAGGAATATGACTGAGATATGATGCCCTGCCTTGTTGCCGGAAAATATTTCCAGTACTTTCATTGTTGTCAAATGTGGCTCCCCATTGATTCTTCTCGTCATTGTAAGTGATTAATGACCATGTGGAGTGCCTCCGACAGTAAATATCTAAACAATAAATACCAGGTCTTGAAAATTAATGGTATTGTCAATTTTTGACTACCCACCTGAATTAATTGATTCCAATTTCCACTCAATTTTATCTATCATTCGAAAGTAAATGAAAAATGAAGAATACAATTATCTGAATACCAAATGAATATGAGGATGAAAGTGTAAGTTTTGAGAACAAAAGGCAGTGGTGATCTTATGAGTTATGAACTTACCATAAGACAGGTGGGGCAGGTGGAAATCAATGGTGTGAGGTAAGACGATGATCAATTTGAATGGAGTTGTAAGTTGTAACCAGCTTACTTTGCAACCAATTATGGAGAGGATTAGATACAGCTTCTTCATAATTAAAAACTGGTTAATCAAAAAAAAAGCCACGGGTTTAAAATTTAAGCTCCGCCAACTTTTAAATAAGCCGATTTCAAACTGCCGTTTTCATGATTTTTTCCAACTGAAATTGGGTTAAAGAAAATCTAGTTCAATGTGACATGATAATGGAAGGTAGAAAACTAGAAATGATGTTTAATGCTTATATATATTAGTTAGATTTTCATTAATTGTAGATAATTATGAGTCGGGAGAATTGGACCAATTGGTACAAGATTTGAAATTTTGAATTGAAATTACGTACTTTAATTTAAATTAATAATTACTACAAAGCTAGAATATTAAAAGAGATGAGTGACAATTGCTGGAAGTCTCGGCTGTTTCGGGGTTAACATTGATTTGGCATGCACCACCATAAATATATTTTAAAAGAATTGGTTACGGTAGAGGAGATGTTCTTTTCTTTTAGGAAATTATCTATCCTTATGCTAAACTTAGAGATTTTCGAACTGTTTATTGTAGGATTTGCCCTAAATTGCAGAGCAACAGAAACAAATTTTATGGTACAATGATTTAAAGATCTTTTAGTTTCAGTGTGAAAGTGAAACACCAACGTCCAACGGATGGCCGTTTAAAGCACACATATTTCGGCAAAAATTAAAAGCTCTACCGGTTACAATCAATGTCAATATTTGCATTCCATCTACAGATTTTGTTATGCCTAAAATAAGGGTTGACATATGATGAAGTCATCAAACACTAATCAGAATCCAAAAATTATTCTATTGTCTATAACATGACACGTCTCTAAAGATAAAATGAATATAGCTGTCACAAACCCAAATTGACTCAAGATTTTGTGCTTGAGGGAATTTGGTTTGCATACCTGTTCAAGCTCTAATTAATTTAAGGATATATTGTGAGTTTTCAATGAATGGGAAGGGAGGAGAGATCTACACGACATCAAGCCATTTGCAAAAATGTAATTACTACCTTGAGCTAAATAAGTATAAATAGGCAACTCTCTCTCATCAAATAAGAGTTAGACATTCATGCATTCAACTAAGAAAATAGCAAAGACACACTATTAGAAAGAAGCTGACTTGATATTCTCTTGGAACACAAAACACAAACACTTGTAATCCCAAATCGCAGCTCACAACATCTTATAGGTTTATCTAGCGATCAAATAGTAATTTTTATATAATTAAACATAATGGATATACGATTTGTTTTAAATATCTGAACCAATATAAAAATATCTTGTCAATTTTATTTTTACATCTTGCATACTACTTTACTCACACTAACTCACCGACTCATTATAATTATGCCACGTTCAACTTCTTAATATTTTAAACGTGCAAAATCGCATCAATATATTTCTAACCATAAATTCATGTTGGTGATTTGGTCAACTCAACCAATGCATTAATGTGTGTATATAAATCAGGTTAAATCTTATAAAATATAATATAATAAATTTTTGTTTATATGTCTAGGGTAGTGTTGACTGAGGTCAATGGTAGGTTGTTGTGGAAAAGGTTCATTATATTGAATTAGACAAGGGCTTTGTTCTCATTGGTGCCTAAATTGTAGCCATTTGAAAACCGAAAGAAAGTGGTTCAATCTTCAATCTTTGGCAATAATGAGAGGCAGGTGCTCTCTCGACACTTCTCTATTGTATATGAAAATGGCACCTCATCGGTTTACTGCTTATTGTTTATATTTAACTGGACTTTCACCCATGCAATCAATAATTATTTACGTGACTGTATGCAAAGCTTTACTCTTACCATTTTTTATGCTCCAAGGTTTGTAACTTTTTTCTCCTTAATTCTACAGTGTTTCTAAAGTGGAACTGCGGTTATTAACTTTTGATAGCTTACTTTAATTTGTGTTATTAAAAGGAGTGTTGATAGAGAAAAGGATGCCTTTCTATTGTATAAAATAATAGAGTCCAACTCAGAACTCAATTATCAAGTATGTCCATGCATGCAAGCAAGACTAATAATAATTTAAATGGGGAAAATGTGTACGATTAATTAAGCTTAAACTAACCCACATCTGTAATTATTAGATATGATTTGAGGAGATGACACTAATCAACTTCTATTCATAAACTTAATTCACCCTTTAATCTCAATTAGAGAGAGTAAATGAATTAAACCAATCATCATCATGTGAACAGTAACAAAAGTAAATGAAAACAAGCAGGTCCCAGTAGATAAAGCACTTCTACTCATTCATTTATAAACGATACGAAATCTCTCTGATTGGTTGTTTCCTGGGACTAGAGAAAATAAATTCACCATAATTTGCGTTAAATCTTTTGTATTTTTATAATTTGAATGTATAAACTGTAGTAAAACCCACATGAAATTTCTCCTCTAATTTTCAATATATTGTAGACTTTCTCAACTACAATGGTTGGTACCTCAAATCAATTAATTAATTAAGTTGAGTTAAATTGTTTGGTAGAAGAAATAAAGCTGTAGTGGCATGGCATGACCATGAAACTCGTGGCTGAGACAAAGATAATAAAGGAAGATAACCTCGTAATGAAATCAACAGAAATAGTGTTTGTTGAGGGGTCTACATGAATGAACATGTTTTCGAAAGTAATACAATAATTCTCTTAAAATAAAATAAAATTATACACTAAACATATATATAAAAACACGACTCCACCTGAAATAACAAAAAAAGGAAACCTCGTAAACCGAGAATGGGAAAGCTAAGGGAGAAGGATGAGTGTTGAGAAGGGCAAAGTTTGATTAGATTGAGAAGTTGTTCTCACCAGTATGTATGATGATCTGTTCCCGCGTTCTCACGTGCGTCATCATCTCCCTTCTTACAAATTAGTAATTAGTAATTACCACTTCACTTGCTTAAGAACAATTTTAACTCCCAATCCAATCAAAGAAAATCGAATAAACCCCAAAATATATAAAACGACAAAACCTCAAAAAAAGACCTGTCAGAAATATCTGAAACACAGTTTAGTTCAATTATTACCGGAAATAGCCGGTGGTCGCCCGGTTGCTCGAAACCCTATGCTCCCTCAGAGGCTTTGTTATGGAAAAAGAGATGGACAAGAGTGAGTGAGGGAGAGAGAAACAAAGAATTTGTTGTTTATGTATTCTGTGTGTGAGTGAGTGATTGTAGTAAAGTTTTATGGTAGAGTGTGTTATTAGGATGCGTGAAGTGAGCCCCTAATACTCCGATTCTCGATCTCTTCACGTATCTCTGCTATCCTGCGCCCCCTCTGCCATGTTTGCAGCTCTGAAGATCATGATAACCCTTCATTTCATCATCACTACTTCTCTTTCACTGTTCCCTCTCTTTCACCATCACTATTATCCTCTTTAATATCTACAGTCCACAGTCCAAACACCTGTCTCTCCCCCTTTTAACTGTTTTTCTCTTTTCTCTCTTCTTCTATAGTGTGTTGAGTTTTTTATTTTCTTTTCTTCTCCGTGTGCTTATGGCGGAGGGTTTTGAGCCCTACCATGTCCCACAACAAAGCAGAAGGGATAAGCTAAGAATTGTGGCTCAAAACCATTCAGGTTGTGTTGAATCAACGGCTACTCTTCAAGGCTGCACGGGTTTACTCCCTTTGTACGATCCTTCACTTCTCTCTTCAGATTTGCTCAACTGTGCCAACTCCAGTGGCCACAACTTCCTCCACAACAACAATCCAATCTCAGCTTCTGCTGACCCCATTAAAGCCAACCCAGTTTGTGTTGTTAAAGAAGAAGGTGTGAATTTGATGGGTTTTGTTGGTGGGATCGTTAATGGCTCTTCTTCTACTTCAACTTCACATCATCCTTATTTGGATCCTCAGTCTTCTTTGCATATGAACCCTAGTTCCATTCAAGATATTAACAATAACCCCTTTCTTTACGCCCCACATAGCCTCCATAACCTTAGAGATTTTGATCAGTCCTATAATGGTGGTAGTGGTGAAGTTGTTGTCTTCAAACCCGAACCCTTGTCTTTATCTTTATCTTCTCACAGTACCCACCAAAACAATCTTCCTTTAGAGCTAAATCTTCAAAGATATGGGTCCGCAATTTATGGAGACAAAGTTACCAGCACTGGTGGATATATGGTTCCAGGAATTGTTGGTGGTGGTGGTTCGACCTCTAATGACCCATCGAGGAGTTCCGTTCCTCTCGGACCGTTTACGGGCTATTCTTCGATTTTGAGAGGATCAAAATTCTTGAGGCCTGCACAGCAGTTGCTGGAGGAGTTTTGCGATGTTGGTCAGGGAATTTACGCTGAAAAAATGACTGTTGATTCCTCGTTCATGGATCCTCCGTTAGTAAATTTGAGCACTAGTGGACTTGTTGATGATCCGCTTTGTGTTGGAGAAGGTAGTGAGAATAGAACAAAGAAGTCTAGGCTACTTTCTATGCTCGACGAGGTCTGCTTCCTTTACTCTGATACAACACTGTTCTTATCAGTGTCCCCTCTTTTCACATTTTTTTAGCCCAACGTGTTTTTCTTTAAAAGTTTTTGTTCGTGTTTCATATTCATAGTTGGTTGATTAGTCATCTTATAACTCCTTTTCTGCTGCTTGGTCATGTAGTTTTAAGTTCTCATGGATCATTGTGTCATTAATATCATTTTCAAATCTTCCTTCGAGATCTCTTTTTTATGAACTCGAATTACATTTGTCATCATAGAAGCTGTTACTTGTACTGTTGTACAATAAATAAATGATTGATAGTCATTGCTTGAACCAGCATGCAATTAACGGTGTTGCATGAATGAGCTGCAATAGAGCGTGTTATCTTTGGTGATTTGTTTAAAAATTTGTGTAATTTATAGCTTCCTCAAGTTTATTCTATATGAATTAGATTCTTGTGGTTGAGGAATGGATGGCCTCGGTGACTACAAAATCATCTTTATTGAAAAGGTGATAGGAGAGAATATATGCACGAAGATTAGTGTTATAAAGCGTCTGACAACCATAGAAAGAGTTCTAATAGTTGACAACTTCGCCAAGTTTGAAGCGTAATGTGCATAAAGTGATTGAAGGAATCCATTTGAAAAAATCTTTACTCCAAAAAAGCATTTAAACAGCATAATGGTATTCCAATCCTAAAGAAGAAGAGATTGAGTAGAGGAAAATTAGGTGTCTCGCCTTTTTTGTAGGGTTTGGGCTCGGCTCAATTCCTTGTCCTAACTTGCTGAGTTATCTAGTTAGATGTGATTCTGGCCACTCATAAATTATATAATTAGGTAAAGGTTTAAGATGTTATAATTCTTCCATGTGCAACTCCATTCGCTTCTTGACATATGAATTGAGATTGTATCTGGACCCTCTGACCTCTGCGTGCATTTAGTGAAAAACCGTGGGTGAAGGCAGTTTTAGCTGAAATGGTGCTTTGAAGTTCAATTGATATTACCTATTGCTGCTTTATTGATATTATTTAAGGATAAATTCCACATAGTGATGAGAGAAGTTGAAATGGGTGTTATAGGATTGGATATTATTATTTTTCATTAATTATTGGAGTGTGTTCCTTTAAGTTGCACATTATTTTTATGCTGAAGTGGGGAAAAAAACAGCCCTTAGATCCTGACTAAAAACTGAATCCTTGACTTAACTAATGCTAAATATCAATCTAATTGTTCATCGATGGAGTTGAATATTATTTTTCTTCTACTTTATGAATGGTAATCCCAATCTCCATTGCATTTTATCTGGTGCATAGTGATGAATTAAAGTTGAACCCTATTGTTGATTTTCTAGTGACGAAAGCACATGCCTTGAAGAAACAAATTAACTGAGACTTAACACAATTGAAATGCGGAAAACATGGTTCAAGCTCAGTGTGTATGGGCTTTTGCAATAACATATAGTTCATTTATTACTTCATCAAAACTGGGAGGTGTATTAAATGGAGATGGAAATTCAAGATGTGCACCACAGTTTGCCATTTACGTGAGTGTTGTGTTAATGAAATGTTTGAAACATTTAAGTGGTCTAGAGGCATCACTATGATTTTGTCCTTGGGTGAAGGAAACATCATATAAAGATTGTCCTAGGAACCTGAAGTATTTTAATATAGTTCGTGGCAGTATGCTCAAAATCAATAATCCATTTGATATTCTGTTGCATTTCAAGTGTAATCTTTTTGCATTTAACCAGATTTTTCCCAAAATGGTTCAAATATGTACTTGATTCACATCTCTACTGTACTGTACTGTTAATTTTCATTTTTATTTTTTTATTTCAATAAGTGATTCATATGATCCCATCATGATTGAATAACGAAGACACTACCTCGTTTTCTGTCCCGCTTATAATATAACAATGAAACTGACTACATAAAAGAGGCTGATGACCACAATTCTCTCTCTTTGCTCTCCTATTTGGAAAATAAAGTAATCTGCTACACCTTTCACTCAGTTACAATGATTGAAATCTTGTAATATTATTGAACATATATTATTAGATTCTTGTTCTTGCATGCAAAGCTAATATTTCCTTTTCTTTTCTCTTTGACTAGAAGTATGGATAGATTTCTTACTCTTTTTTTTCTTTCTTTCTTTCTGCTTTAGGTTTACAGGAGGTATAAGCAATACTATCAGCAAATGCAAGCAGTTGTGGCTTCGTTTGAATATGTTGCTGGGCTCGGCAATGCAGCTCCCTATGCAAACGTGGCTCTAAANACAATTCTCTCTCTTTGCTCTCCTATTTGGAAAATAAAGTAATCTGCTACACCTTTCACTCAGTTACAATGATTGAAATCTTGTAATATTATTGAACACAGATTATTAGATTCTTCTTCTTGCATGCAAAGCTAATATTTCCTTTTCTTTTCTCTTTGACTAGAAGTATGGATAGATTTCTTACTCTTTTTTTTCTTTCTTTCTTTCTGCTTTAGGTTTACAGGAGGTATAAGCAATACTATCAGCAAATGCAAGCAGTTGTGGCTTCGTTTGAATATGTTGCTGGGCTCGGCAATGCAGCTCCCTATGCAAACGTGGCTCTGAAAGCCATGTCTAAGCATTTCAGATGCTTGAAGAATGCAATTACGGACCAGCTTCAGTTCACAAATAAGGCTCAATCTCAGATAAGCCATGGGAAAGAAGAGGCTCCCACATTTGGAAGCAGTGATAGAGGTCTTTATGGCCAGAGAGCTGTTCATAACCCTGGATTCCTTGAGCGCCAACCTGTTTGGCGACCCCAAAGGGGGCTTCCTGAGCGTGCTGTAACTGTTCTTCGGGCGTGGTTATTTGAGCACTTCCTACATCCGTAAGTGCAAATACCCTGAAAATTGTTTGACTAGAAAATTTTGCTTGCAAAACTTGTTACTCTTTGTAAATAGAGTAGCAGTTAATAGAAGTTATCCTCAGTTGGCTTGAAACCATCTGTTTTTTAAGTTTAAAAAAAGCCTATTTAGAAACACAAGTAATAACGTTCTCAGGCTATTGTTTTGTGTTACAGTTATCCTACTGATACAGACAAGCTAATGTTGGCAAAACAAACTGGTCTATCACGGAGCCAGGTGTGCATTATATTATTAAGCTTGATGATTTATTGTTTTCGCTATTTACATCTGAAAGGTCTTCGCATCTAAGATCAACATCTTCATCCCTGGGTCATATAGAAGTTACTTTTATGTTCCTCTGAATTTTTCGGCAGCGGTTCAGTCAATTTCTGATGATATACACTTGTGAACCAGGTTTCTAATTGGTTTATCAATGCTAGAGTAAGGCTTTGGAAGCCAATGGTTGAAGAGATACACATGCTAGAAACTCGGCAAGCTCAAAAAGCTTCCCAAAGAGAGGAACGAAATGCCGATCGCTCAATGGATCGTTTACCTTCCTCAAACTCACTTCCATCTGAAAATCCATCCACCTCCACCCAAAGGTTCCCAGACACCCCATCCAAACGCACGAGAAACGAATTTCCTGATATTCCTGGTGGAAGTGAGGGACACCCAAACTTGTCTTACGACAGCTTGTCAAGCCACCCACATGTTGGTGTTGGTGTGAGCATGGGAGGTGGCACTAGTGGTGTTTCCTTAACACTCGGCCTTCATCAAAATCATGGGATCAGTTTATCAGAACCCTATCCTCCTATAAATGCAGTTCAACGTTTTGGCCTCGGCCTTGAGGCAACTAGTGAAGGGTATGTTTTGGGTGGTTATGAAGCACAGAATAGGCATTTTGGAAGGGACGTTATCGGAGGGCAACTTTTGCATGATTTTGTGGGTTGATTATATCTTCAGACTAAAATCAGTGTCCTGGCTTCATTATATTGGAATGACTAACAAAGTTTCTCTTAAGTGTGCTTACATTGAATCTGGGTACGAAGCTGAGACAAGCTGGAGTGGTCAAATGATTGCTCTCTGAGGACATAAGCAGGTATGCTATTCAAAATACAGTATACATCAACAACCCGGAAAAGGTGCAAATGACTTAAAATGATTGGTGTAAAATTCTTCTGTAAATCTATAATTTATATGATAAGAAATATGTTACATTTTGAGGCCAGCAAGTCAAGGTTTAAAGAGGCCTTAGAATGTTGTTTTCAGTTTGAATGAAAGCCTTGATATTGAAAGCTTTTGCTACCATGTCAGAAGTTGTGAGGGTTTTGCTCATCATTAATCTTTCCAAATTTGTGAGAATCATTTACTAATGTATTCTCAGGTAGAGGATAATCAAGGCTTATTGGTTGTTTTAAGGGGTACGCTAGCTGGGATAACACAAGCACACTTCCAGGATGTGCCTGCCTTGATCATGTTTCTTGTTTATCGTATGTTTAATGGAGACAGATTCCGAGGGTTGGGACTAATACTATAGTCCAAGAAATTAAAAGTTAACCTTGATGTGTAGATGTAAGTGATAAGAGTCAAAAGGTGTTGGCGTGCTTTAATTTATTCTTTTGCTTTTTGCAGTAAACTAAATGAATGGTAATGTGAATGAGTAGTAGTTTTGTGGATAAAATATTTGCATGGGCGGCTGTGTCTGTTGCTTACTATTTATTTATTGTCAACATAAAATGGGGATTTGATTGAGTGGAAGCAATGAAGTGTAAAGAAAATTCTAATGCTTTAGCATTTTAAATCTTTGATTGATTTGTGGAAGAAGTTACTTCAGGATAATTGCATAATCTTCTTTAATTGTACTTATTCTTATCCTATTCAAAATACTCCCTTTATTTCACTATTCTCAAAATTCAATTTTATTCTCTTGACTCAAGATATTAAGGGTCCTTTGTTTAATTATTTTTCACTATCCTATTCTATCTAAATTACAAAAATCCTATTTTATTTTATTGAATTATTTTTAAACTACATAGTGATTTAACTAAACACTGAAAAAAAAAAAAAATTTAGAAATGGATAAAACACTTTCATCTGTCCACATTTGCTATAATGGTGCACTATTATTTGGATTTGGGTTGTTCATTGGAAAAAGTTATATTTTTGATGATTAGATTTTTAGCCATAGTTAGTTGTCAATGACGATACATGTCTTTGGTTATATTTATGATGAATCTGGCTTAAAAAAGTTATAAAGTTATATCAGTGTACGCTGGTTATATTTATGATGAATCTGGCTGAAAAAAGTTATAAAGTTATATCAGTGTACGCTGATCGGTCATTGGTCATATTTAATTGGTTGTGTACTAATATGACAACTTTTACTTATATTTATGATGAATCTGGCTGAAAAAAGTCATATCAGTGTATGCTGATCGGTCATTGGTCTGATTTAATTGGTCGTGTACTAATATGACAACTTTTATTGGTATTTAATAAGTGGATGAAAGTATTTTTATTAATTTTTAGTAAATGGTATTTAATGAGTGGATGAGAGTATTTTTATTAATTTTAATGTTTTATTATAAGGGTGTTTAATAAATTAATAAATTTAAAGTGTATTTTTATTAATTTTTAAATCTTATTTCCCGCCTAACTCTTACTTCTCTGAAGGCATTATCCGAAATACTGGAACCAACTTGACCCAAGAATTTTCTCCCACTATGAGAAGTCCATGGAAATGGACCAATATAATTTTTGTGAGGTATTGAGTGGGCTTTTTCCCAATTGATTCTGAAGCCCAATTGAAGGGGCAAACCCCAAACCCAAAGTTCAGGCAAAGGCAACGAACACCGAGTCTTTTTATCTCCTGCTTACTCAACGAATTGGTTTGATTTTCCAAGTTATGACTTTTGACCATTTCAGAAGAAAATTGGAACATGGAAAATATGATGCAAATTCCAAAGACTCGTGTTTGGCTTTTCCTTTTCAATTACGCCCACGAAATAAACAATTTACAATAAAAACGTGAATATAATTATTTACCTTAAATCATTTTGACAAAGAATTAAAATTACATCCTTATGTAAACGAAAATACCATTTTTTTAATAATTGTGGATTCGGGTTACTTTATATGTACCTCAATTAATTTTTCGAAGATTTAAAGTTACTGGTCGAATAAGAACTTTAGTGGTTATTTTGACTAGCAATCGTAAAGACTAGAAGACTATGTTAAAATGAACATAACATTTATAAATATGAAATCTCACCTTTTTATCATGTGATCGGTGATCCTATAATTTGTGTTTTAACATGTGTATCTAATATGGTATAAGTCAATAATTTATTGTTGAATATATATTTGAAATTGTCAAAAAAGTATTTCTTCTTTCAATCATTCTAATCAATAGTTTAATAGTTTTTAAATTTGTCTTAAGAATCAGAAAATTAAAGCATAAAATATATTACTAATTAATAATTATCAATTTATAACAAAGAGCAAAAAAATCATTCCAAAATAATAATTAAAAATAAAAGAAAAATAAATACGTAATAAAAAACACTTCGTTCAAAGCACGCTAGAAAAACATATTCCTAGCGTTTCACAATAAACCTGTATAAAGTATAAACCACAAAGAAACCCTAAGCTGCCAGCTCTTCTTTAACCTCCTGCTCGTTACTGTTTACTCCTCTTCTAGGGTTTTGTTTTTTCGTCAATATATCTTTCTTCTTTAAACTCTCCGCCATTGTCACAAAACCCATGTAACATTAGATACAATACTTTTTCTTTCTACCCATTAACACCGTAACATATAAAAGAATTTTATTTTAATTTTAATTTTTTTTAAGTATGAACATGGAAGCGAGAGTTGGGGTGGTTGTTGAAGGAGGTCAAAGAGCCTTGAATACTGCTCACGGAACTGTTGTCGATGCCGGTGCCAGAAAATTCTTGCATTCGCAACAACAACAGCAGCAACCTCCCCAGAGCCTTAACTCGCCCAAACGGCCGTTTAATCACCAGAAATCGCAGATTGGAACCGTACAGCAACTTCTTGCCGGTGGTATTGCCGGTGCTTTTAGCAAGACCTGCACGGCGCCCCTCGCTCGTCTTACTATTTTATTACAGGTCTGATTTTTAATTTTTTTTGTTATTATTTTGTTAGGAATTTATGAGAAATTCTGTTTTGTTTGTTTCATTGAACTTCAGGCCAAAGGGTCGGTGATTTAGGTAATTCTTGCATATTTTAGTAAAGATCGTTCCAAGGCAGAGCTTCAAGGAAAATACAGACCTGATATAAATCTAATTTGTCCGTGTTACTTTAGGGTTTATGTAACTCAAAATTATAATGCTAGTTATTATACATAATTTATAAATTCTACCAGCCTTAGATTTTGTTACACCTCCGTTCATTGGAATTGTAGATTTTACTGCTTGCTATTGTTATGTTTGTTAGGTGCAAGGTATGCACTCGGATGTTGCAGCATTGAGCAAGACTAGTATATGGCGTGAGGCTTCTCGTATTGTTAATGAAGAAGGGTTTAGAGCATTTTGGAAGGGTAATCTGGTGACCATTGCGCACCGACTTCCATACACTTCAGTCAATTTCTATGCTTATGAACGTTACAAAAATGTCAGTGCTCAGCTTTCTTGGATCTCTTATATAGGCTTTGAAATATATTTCCTTGCAATTTACTTATCATTTGTCTCTTTTACTCCATGCAGTTGTTGCAATCAGTTATGGGCTTGGAAGATCATAGGGGAAGTACAAGTGCTGAACTTTGTGTGCACTTTGTAGGTGGTGGGTTATCAGGAATTACTGCTGCATCTGCTACATATCCACTGGATCTTGTTAGGACACGCCTTGCAGCACAGGTAACATCAGCATAATTGCGATGAATAATTTTTTCTTTCTTTCTTTTTTTTTTTTGGGGGGGGGGGGGGGGGGGCGGGGGGGGGGGGAGTGGCTTTGATTGCTTTAGTTTTCCCATTCTTCTTATGTTCAATAGGTTTGGTTTTAATACTGTTTTAACTCAATTGGTTTTGGTACTCTGCAGAGACAAACGATGTACTACAAAGGTATTTGGCATTCCTTCAATACCATTTGCAGAGAAGAAGGATTTTTGGGCTTGTATAAAGGACTTGGAGCAACACTATTGGTATCTATTGCTGTTATTTCTTTAAATTTTCTACCATTTCTTCTTATAGACTTTAATTGTTGTTCTTTATCCATATGGAGCAGGGTGTTGGACCTAGCATAGCAATAAGTTTTACTGTTTACGAGTCACTCAGATCCTTCTGGCAGTCTCGAAGGTAAGAAATCCTTTAAACTGGAGTCATGTTATGTGCTCTTTTTGTGGAGTATCTCTTGCTTCTTGTGCATAAGTTGAAATATATAGTAAAGTTTTCTATAAAATTGATGTCAGCCCCAATGATTCTACTGTCATGGTCAGTCTTGCTTGTGGTAGTCTTTCAGGCATTGCATCATCAACAGGTGAGTGATCTTTGACCTACCATTCAACTTGATTGTTCCTTTCTAATCTTGAATAAGTGATTGCTGTTGATTTGACTTGCTCTGCTTTTAATTATTGTGCTTGTAATCTCATGTCAATATTGTTGAAAATCAGAAGCACATAAATATCTGTCTGCGGTTTTTAAAGTCAAGGTCTTGAATAAACTTGAAACTATAGTGAGGGAAGTATATTTGCAAAGTCTTTTAATGTTAGTTTATTACTTTGTGTATTTGACTAATTGATATGCTTTTGTGTGCAAAGAAGCAACTAGAGGGGCATACTTTACACTTAGTTTTACTCAGAGTTTGAGGTTGGAGGTATTTCTCAAATTTACAAAGTTTAGTAAGTCATACCATATATGTTATGGTAGAGAGTTTATATCGGGCAATGCAACATCATATGCTTTAAGCCAATAAAACTGTTATCACATAGAGAATTTTTAAAAAATAACCTATCTTGTTGCTTCTTAAAATTGTTGAAAGATGACATACATTCTTTGGCTGGGTGCATGATGATGTGGTATGCCCTATGTATTTTAGTCTTTTCCATGTGTAATTTTTTAAATTTAGCAACTAATAAATCACTGTAAAGTTGGTAATATCGACAAATATTTTAGATAAGTGATATTTAAGGTTCTGAGTTTTGAGTGCAATGACATTGTTTGATCTGTCCAGCGTACCGATTGACTTTCCTCATATGAATGATTGTTATATTTCGTAATTATTGAGCTAGTGATGTGTGGACAATTGCTGCTGGGAACTCGGAATGAAATTATTGAGCTATTTATAAGTGGGGAATTGAGCATTGCTGTTGTTTTTTCTTGTGTCATCATCCCTTGCCTGTATCGATGTAATTATGATATGTAGTAAACTATTTGTTTATATATTTGCTTTCTCTATATGAAACTCTTATCTTTTTGATAATTTGTAGCGACATTTCCTCTTGATCTTGTGAGAAGAAGGATGCAGTTGGAAGGGGCTGGTGGTCGAGCTCGTGTCTATAATACTGGGTTGTTTGGGACATTTGGACACATAATCCGTTCTGAAGGCTTGCGAGGCTTGTATAGAGGAATTTTGCCAGAATACTATAAGGTGGTTCCAAGTGTTGGCATAGTTTTCATGACTTACGAGACATTGAAGATGCTTCTATCAAGCATCCCTACCAGTAATTGATTATAGTCCGGTTTCCTATATACTGCCATAAATTTTTTCCATGAGGTTAGTTAATTGTTAGGCTTTCAACATGAAAGAAGAAGAAAAACAATCAGCTGGTTAAAGATACGTCACGTAGCAGAGATGTCCATTATGTGGGCATTGGTTGAGAATTTCCATGGTGGTAAATTTTGTCGTTGCCACTGCGAGGTAGCATTTCTTTATTCTGTTTTGTATAGATAGTGAAGCATTGTGAGAGTCATGTCAATTGTATTCACTTCCAACATATTGAAGTCTCAGGTGACCCTCTTTGGTATTAGCATTCATTGTTGATCATGTCAACTTAAAAAGCTTTGTAACTTAATTCAATTACAATGTTCGGAAGGTATTGGTGTATTCCTCCGGTAAACTCTTTGGTTTTGAAGAAAAAATTAGTAGGGTTTTTAGTTCTGGAAAAAGCAGGATCAGAAATATATTTAATTTACATTTGTTAACAATTTTTTCATTTGAGCTTTTTGGATTAGATCAATTGAACCAATGCGCAGATTATGGACAAATGTAATAGAACCATAGAACTATAGAAGTTGATTTTATATTTGGAAAATTTGTATGTACTAATTTTATAAATAAATTTGATATTAGTTCTGAATCTCTCTTACTTGCCTATGTCTGGCTTGAAACTTCCCACCGTAATCTTTTCATCATTTTTTGCTATTATTCTTTCTTTTATCTTATTTTCATAGCTATTTTAATTTCTTATAAACAAATTACCGCATGGGTAAACTGTAAAGTTCTCTAGTATATGACTATATGGTAATCAACAGAATAACGAAATTGAGAGTTAAATCCTGATCTTAGGAATCTAAATAAAGAGCCTCTGAGATTTTCTGGCCTTAACCAAATGTGGGTTGGATTCAGAAGGCCTGTTACTACAAAACCTTTGTCAAAGAAACAGATTACCAGTCTCAAAACTGATTGGCGTGGAGCAAATTAAATCCGAATCATCCAGTGACTCCCAGAAGAAGACCTTACTTCACTCTAGAGGATATGGATAAATATTTGACAACTTTCCTAAGGGAACGAAATCACGAATAGATATAACATTAGATGGTTTTGTTCTGTTTAGTGTTCAAGAATATGGAGATGGTAAACCTTTTGTTTGTAAATCCATTGACGCGGAGGCTTAAGTTTCTATTTCGTAATCCAACTTCCCGGAAAGCAAAATGTACATCCTATAATTAGATTTTGACTCTGCTTTATGGAGATACAAGGTGCTAAGATTTCTCTATAGATGCAAGGTTATAGGTCTGTCTCAGTTGCCGTTAATCAAATAGCAAAAACCGTCTCTATTGAAAATAGAGAGGTTTATACGTAGTCAATGGATACTATGTTGTGGGAGAAGAGTTCAAGGAAAAAGATATCGTTCCCATCATCCCATGCCAGCCAACCCAAGTCTATTTACAGATGGAAAATATCAGAGAACCACTCTCTGTTGCAATGGCTGACAGTGACAACGAACTTGGCATTTGGGATTCCAGAGACTGGAATAAAACACAATATATGCCATAGTCCAACTTTTAACAGTCATATCTTCAATTTGTTCAGATCATGGATGCTAAAAACTCAAACAAAGTGAAGTTCTTCGCTCAAACTTCAGGAAAATGTATTCCTACAAGATCGGAATGACATCGCTTCTGGTTGGCAGCATTAGATCACATATTTCCAAAGTTTAATTCATCTTTATTTATGTATAAGCAGCCCTGCAGGCATCTATTACCATATCCGACTGTTACTTATTTAAGCATAATCTTTGATTCTTTTGAGTTTGTTCTCCTCCCACAAGTGGGATTCCACTTCTTGCGGAAGTTCAATAAAGTTAGCCACATACAGCTCTCCTGATGAACTTTCTATCAAATATAGCTTTACCTAGTAAAAAATAATAATTTATATCAGTAATATTAATTATCCCACTTGCTCACGACTCCATACATATTCTTTACATATCCCTCCAAGTTTAACAAAGGCTGTTGTTATAAGCTGGGGAAATCTAAGGAGGTGTTTCAATGCGAAGAGAGAGAATAGAATATGCTACTGATTAAAGCCAAGCCGATGGCGACCAACCAAAGAGATTAAAAAATTATTCACATTCAGATTTTTATTATAAATTTACTTGTTACTTTTATTCTTAAGAATCTATAATTTAATATACTGGAGATCTTTAACACTTATCTTCTGGGAGAATCATAAGCCCCAAGGGAAGTGTTTATCTTTAGATCAGATTCCCAGACAGTCTTCAGGAAAACTCCCTCTTTCTCTCATGAGTCCCAAGGGAAGTGTTGATCTTTAGATCAGATTCCCAGACAGTCTTCAGGAAAACTCTTTCTCTCTCTCATGAGCCCCAAGGGAAGTGTTTATCTTTAGATCAGATTATCAGACAGGTCTGTTAGCTATAAATAGAAAGTCTTCAGGAATACTCTCTTTCTTTCATCCGGATATGGACCGTATGTAGAGGGAATTTCATAGTATGATTCCGATTTTGACACGATTATACAATCTACACTTTCTTTCTTATGGTTATACTAAACATTGGAGAAACAATTTACTTCTCTAATTTCAAGAATGTTTTGATTGTTAGAACTTATAACAGGTACTAAATTTCAGTATGTGCGCGGTTAATATCGCATTCCTTTTTAGTTGTGGATTTAAGAATACCGCATGAGAGCCCGGACTAAAGAGTCTCTCAAATAACTAGAATAATTTTGGTTGAGGAATGTCACTTAAAACCATAAGCAAATCACCATGAACTCCTTGCTTATGTTACAGGAACTTAAAACTTCTATTAAAAAAAAATCATGAACTAAATATATTTTGATCTTATTGACAAATGGATTCTTTCTACCTGCTAATGATTTGTGCTCGCTTCCTAAATGAAGAAAGAACTTTTTAAGATTGAAGGCCTTGATGCCATTGTTAAAAATCTGAGTTTTTATTGAGAAATATGAGGAGGAATTCTGTACTCTGAATGTTGTACTGCTGAGATAATTCTTAACTTGTTATTAAATATGTTTATTTGCATGCAGCTCTCCCTCTCTCGGAAATTAACCAGTTTTCTTATGGCCTGATGTTGGTTTTTATTTGAATACAAAAATAACTTATCTTGACAGCATCTGGATGCACAGATGTTCCCATTCTAATTAGTTGAATTTGATGCGCTGAAAAAGGGCTACTGTTTTCCATAGATTAAAGACTTGATAAAATTTAATATTGATTTCTTGTCATATCGGAAGCTGAAGTTTCTTATTTAAGCATGAAAACAAGAAAGAAGGTTTGATTCATTCTTCTTTAAGTTTGTTCTCTTCCTGCATAAAGATATGCAATCTGACAAATTCTTTTCATTTTCCACTCGTCTGATTTGCATCCTCTGATTTTTGGCTATTCTAAAAGACAGAATTTTTGGTAGATTTTGTTTGGTTGATAATAATAACTTAACAATGCTTTTGTAACGTTCTGCTCTTCCTTGGTTTCAGAGAGGACAAATGGGATTCCTCTTCTTGTGTAAGTTGAATAAAATCACCCACTCAGAGCTTCCAAATAGGATACCACCATTGATGAACCTTGCTATTAGTAGAATCCAATAAAAAAGTAAAATCTACAACAATATCATCAATTAATTAACCCACTTCACATATCCCTCTCGGGGTGAAATAAGATTAATCCCGTAATCTTTGTTTAATTTTCAAGATTTCCTTATTTGGTTGTCAAGTAATAAAATATTATGGTAATCTTTTGTTGTAAATAGTGTTTACTGTTGATAATATTAGGATAATCTTAATTTTGACCTTATTTTGTCCTTAATATTTTATAATTCTAGACACATTTACTCTCATATGTCTACCAAATAACCATTAGCGCAAACCCCGTACATTTGAGAATTTAGCTAAAACACTGCAGTCACAAAAAAGTTGAAAGTTAACAAAATACCCCTAACCATCCAAGACCACCGTTGACCGCCGGCGAAAGTCATCATATTGGCGCAAGACCGGAGGGATCTTGCTGATCATGCACCGGTAAGGACGTTTGAAACGGCCAGATCTAGCTGTTTGACGGCCAAAGATGTGGCCGTGAAAAGGCCATATGTTTGGCTATGAAATGGTTGCCGTTTCACGGCCACATCTTCACGCGTGAAATAGCCACTTAAACGGCTAGATTTGGCGGTTTCCGACCATGGATCACATATCCATTGCTGGAAAAGGCTTTACTAGTGCTAGCCAGATCTGGCCAGTCATGTGCCATTACGGTGGCTGTCAACAATGGCTTGGGATGGATGGGGTGATTTTGCTATAAATTAAAGTTTTATATGGTTGGGGTATTTTAACAAAATTTCAAATATAGGAATTAAAAGAAATGATTAAAAAAAAAAAAATTATAATATTATATTATTATTTAAAAATGAGGGTAATTTGGTAATCTCTATGATATACTTACTCAATTATCCTTCCAACCAACATATTAATATAACGTATCCACCAATTTATTCCAATCAACCAAATACATTTCTCTAAACATTCCATGAACCAAACGTCTACCGCAAAGTTAAACAAACTAAATCTTCAAATCTTTAGAATCACTAGGGCTGTTCAAATCCGGATATCCGATCCGAATAGGGCTTTTCCTGATCCGATCCGAATTTTCGGATCAGGCTATCTATTGATCCGAATCCGATCCGAATCCGATCCGAATTATATGGATATCCGGTTTTACGGATATCCAATTATTCGGATCGGATAATCGGATATCCGAAATTTATCCGAATTTTAAGATTTTCTTATTAAAATCAAATAATTCAATCCTTAAGGCTAATAATGCTCCAAAGCCATATTGCAAGGACATATGCAATCCGTCACATTTCATAGGAACAACATCAAAGTGAACAATAATAATAATCTAAGATGCAAGCAATTTCAATGAACTACAAACATAAGCACTAAGCAGCACTGCAGCACAGAGGAAACCCAGGCTATTACAGTGTGGCAGCAGTCGCACTAAGAGTTAAATCTGATCTTAGGAATCTAAATAAAGAGCCTCTGAGATTTTCTGGCCTTAACCAAATGTGGGTGGATTCAGAAGCTTGTTACTACAAAACCTTTTGTCAAAGAAAGATTACCAGTCTCAAAACTGATGGCGTGGAGCAAAATAAATCCGAATCATCCAGTGACTCCCAGAAGGAGACCTTACTTCACTCTAGAGGATAGGATAAATATTGACAACTTTCCTAAGGGAACGAAATCACGAATAATATAACTTAGATGGTTTTGTTCTGTTAGTGTTCAAGAATATGGAGATGGAAAACCTTTTGTTTGTAAATCCATTGACGCGGAGGCTTAAGTTTCTATTGTAATCCAACTTCCCGGAAAGCAAAATGTACATCCTATAATTAGATTTTGATCTGCTTTATGGAGATACAAGGTGTAAGATTTTCTATAGATGCAAGGTATAGGTCTTCAGTTGCCGTAATAAATAGCAAAAACCGTCTCTATTGAAAATAGAGAGCGTTAATGGAAGGAAGAGTTCAAGGAAAAAGATAGTGTTCCCATCATCCCATGCCAGCCAACCCAAGTCTATTTACAGATGGAAAATATCAGAGAACCATCTCTGTTGCAATGGCGACAGTGACAACGAACTTGGCATTGGGATTCCAGAGACTGGAATAAAACACAATATATGCATAGTCCAAATTTTAACAGTCATATCTTCAATTTGTTCAGATCATAGTGCTAAAAACTCAAAAAAGTGAAGTTCTTCGTCAAACTTCAGGAAAATGTATTCCTACAAGATCGGAATGACATCGCTTCTGGTTGGCAGCATTAGATCACATATTCCAAAGTTTAATTCATCTTTATTATGTATAAGCAGCCCTGCAGGCATCTATTACCATATCCGACTGTTACTAATTTAAGCATAATCTTTGATTCTTTTGAGTTTGTTCTCCTCCCACAAGTGGGATTCCACTTCTTGCGAAGTTCAATAAAGTTAGCCACATACAGCTCTCCTGATGAACTTTCTATCAAATATAGCTTTACCTATAAAAAATAATAATTTCTCAGTAATATTAATTACCCACTTGCTCACGACTCCATACATATTCTTTAACATACCCTCAAGTTTAAAAGGCTGGTGTTATAAGCTGGGGAAATCTAAGGAGGTGTTCAATGCAAGAGAAGAGAATAGAATATGTACTGATTAAAGCCAAGCCGATGGCGACCAACCAAAGAGATTAAAAAATTATTCCATTCAGATTTTTATTATAATTTACTTGTTACTTTTATCTTAAGAATCTATATTTATATATGAGATCTTACATATCTTGAGAATCATACCAGGAGGACTAACAGATTCCCAGACAGTCTCAGGAAAACTCCCTCTTTCTCTCATGAACCCAAGGGAAGTGTTGATCTTTAATCAGATTCCCAGCAGTCTTCAGGAAAACTCTTCTCTCTCTCTATGAGCCCCAAGGGAGTGTTATCTTTAGATCAGATTACAGACAGGTCTGTTAGCTATAAATAGAAGTCTTCAGGAATACTCTCTCTTTCATCCGGATATGGACCGTATGTAGAGGGAATTCATAGTATGATTCCGATTTTGACCACGAAGGTTTGGTTTTAATACTGTTTTAACTCAATTGGTTTTGGTACTCTGCAGAGACAAACGATGTACTACAAAGGTATTTGGCATTCATTCAATACCATTTGCAGAGAAGAAGGATTTTTGGGCTTGTATAAAGGACTTGGAGCAACGCTATTGGTATCTATTGCTGTTATTTCTTTTAATTTTCTACCATTTCTTCTTATAGACTTTAATTGTTGTTCTTTATCCATATGGAGCAGGGTGTTGGACCTAGCATAGCAATAAGTTTTACTGTTTACGAGTCACTCAGATCCTTCTGGCAGTCTCGAAGGTAAGAAATCCTTTAAACTGGAGTCATGTTATGTGCTCTTTTTGTGGAGTATCTCTTGCTTCTTGTGCATAAGTTGAAATATATAGTAAAGTTTTCTATAAAATTGATGTCAGCCCCAATGATTCTACTGTCATGGTCAGTCTTGCTTGTGGTAGTCTTTCAGGCATTGCATCATCAACAGGTGAGTGATCTTTGACCTACCATTCAACTTGATTGTTCCTTTCTAATCTTGAATAAGTGATTGCTGTTGATTTGACTTGCTCTGCTTTTAATTATTGTGCTTGTAATCTCATGTCAATATTGTTGAAAATCAGAAGCACATAAATATCTGTCTGCGGTTTTTAAAGTCAAGGTCTTGAATAAACTTGAAACTATAGTGAGGGAAGTATATTTGCAAAGTCTTTTAATGTTAGTTTATTACTTTGTGTATTTGACTAATTGATATGCTTTTGTGTGCAAAGAAGCAACTAGAGGGGCATACTTTACACTTAGTTTTACTCAGAGTTTGAGGTTGGAGGTATTTCTCAAATTTACAAAGTTTAGTAAGTCATACCATATATGTTATGGTAGAGAGTTTATATCGGGCAATGCAACATCATATGCTTTAAGCCAATAAAACTGTTATCACATAGAGAATTTTTAAAAAATAACCTATCTTGTTGCTTCTTAAAATTGTTGAAAGATGACATACATTCTTTGGCTGGGTGCATGATGATGTGGTATGCCCTATGTATTTTAGTCTTTTCCATGTGTAATTTTTTAAATTTAGCAACTAATAAATCACTGTAAAGTTGGTAATATCGACAAATATTTTAGATAAGTGATATTTAAGGTTCTGAGTTTTGAGTGCAATGACATTGTTTGATCTGTCCAGCGTACCGATTGACTTTCCTCATATGAATGATTGTTATATTTCGTAATTATTGAGCTAGTGATGTGTGGACAATTGCTGCTGGGAACTCGGAATGAAATTATTGAGCTATTTATAAGTGGGGAATTGAGCATTGCTGTTGTTTTTTCTTGTGTCATCATCCCTTGCCTGTATCGATGTAATTATGATATGTAGTAAACTATTTGTTTATATATTTGCTTTCTCTATATGAAACTCTTATCTTTTTGATAATTTGTAGCGACATTTCCTCTTGATCTTGTGAGAAGAAGGATGCAGTTGGAAGGGGCTGGTGGTCGAGCTCGTGTCTATAATACTGGGTTGTTTGGGACATTTGGACACATAATCCGTTCTGAAGGCTTGCGAGGCTTGTATAGAGGAATTTTGCCAGAATACTATAAGGTGGTTCCAAGTGTTGGCATAGTTTTCATGACTTACGAGACATTGAAGATGCTTCTATCAAGCATCCCTACCAGTAATTGATTATAGTCCGGTTTCCTATATACTGCCATAAATTTTTTCCATGAGGTTAGTTAATTGTTAGGCTTTCAACATGAAAGAAGAAGAAAAACAATCAGCTGGTTAAAGATACGTCACGTAGCAGAGATGTCCATTATGTGGGCATTGGTTGAGAATTTCCATGGTGGTAAATTTTGTCGTTGCCACTGCGAGGTAGCATTTCTTTATTCTGTTTTGTATAGATAGTGAAGCATTGTGAGAGTCATGTCAATTGTATTCACTTCCAACATATTGAAGTCTCAGGTGACCCTCTTTGGTATTAGCATTCATTGTTGATCATGTCAACTTAAAAAGCTTTGTAACTTAATTCAATTACAATGTTCGGAAGGTATTGGTGTATTCCTCCGGTAAACTCTTTGGTTTTGAAGAAAAAATTAGTAGGGTTTTTAGTTCTGGAAAAAGCAGGATCAGAAATATATTTAATTTACATTTGTTAACAATTTTTTCATTTGAGCTTTTTGGATTAGATCAATTGAACCAATGCGCAGATTATGGACAAATGTAATAGAACCATAGAACTATAGAAGTTGATTTTATATTTGGAAAATTTGTATGTACTAATTTTATAAATAAATTTGATATTAGTTCTGAATCTCTCTTACTTGCCTATGTCTGGCTTGAAACTTCCCACCGTAATCTTTTCATCATTTTTTGCTATTATTCTTTCTTTTATCTTATTTTCATAGCTATTTTAATTTCTTATAAACAAATTACCGCATGGGTAAACTGTAAAGTTCTCTAGTATATGACTATATGGTAATCAACAGAATAACGAAATTGAGAGTTAAATCCTGATCTTAGGAATCTAAATAAAGAGCCTCTGAGATTTTCTGGCCTTAACCAAATGTGGGTTGGATTCAGAAGGCCTGTTACTACAAAACCTTTGTCAAAGAAACAGATTACCAGTCTCAAAACTGATTGGCGTGGAGCAAATTAAATCCGAATCATCCAGTGACTCCCAGAAGAAGACCTTACTTCACTCTAGAGGATATGGATAAATATTTGACAACTTTCCTAAGGGAACGAAATCACGAATAGATATAACATTAGATGGTTTTGTTCTGTTTAGTGTTCAAGAATATGGAGATGGTAAACCTTTTGTTTGTAAATCCATTGACGCGGAGGCTTAAGTTTCTATTTCGTAATCCAACTTCCCGGAAAGCAAAATGTACATCCTATAATTAGATTTTGACTCTGCTTTATGGAGATACAAGGTGCTAAGATTTCTCTATAGATGCAAGGTTATAGGTCTGTCTCAGTTGCCGTTAATCAAATAGCAAAAACCGTCTCTATTGAAAATAGAGAGGTTTATACGTAGTCAATGGATACTATGTTGTGGGAGAAGAGTTCAAGGAAAAAGATATCGTTCCCATCATCCCATGCCAGCCAACCCAAGTCTATTTACAGATGGAAAATATCAGAGAACCACTCTCTGTTGCAATGGCTGACAGTGACAACGAACTTGGCATTTGGGATTCCAGAGACTGGAATAAAACACAATATATGCCATAGTCCAACTTTTAACAGTCATATCTTCAATTTGTTCAGATCATGGATGCTAAAAACTCAAACAAAGTGAAGTTCTTCGCTCAAACTTCAGGAAAATGTATTCCTACAAGATCGGAATGACATCGCTTCTGGTTGGCAGCATTAGATCACATATTTCCAAAGTTTAATTCATCTTTATTTATGTATAAGCAGCCCTGCAGGCATCTATTACCATATCCGACTGTTACTTATTTAAGCATAATCTTTGATTCTTTTGAGTTTGTTCTCCTCCCACAAGTGGGATTCCACTTCTTGCGGAAGTTCAATAAAGTTAGCCACATACAGCTCTCCTGATGAACTTTCTATCAAATATAGCTTTACCTAGTAAAAAATAATAATTTATATCAGTAATATTAATTATCCCACTTGCTCACGACTCCATACATATTCTTTACATATCCCTCCAAGTTTAACAAAGGCTGTTGTTATAAGCTGGGGAAATCTAAGGAGGTGTTTCAATGCGAAGAGAGAGAATAGAATATGCTACTGATTAAAGCCAAGCCGATGGCGACCAACCAAAGAGATTAAAAAATTATTCACATTCAGATTTTTATTATAAATTTACTTGTTACTTTTATTCTTAAGAATCTATAATTTAATATACTGGAGATCTTTAACACTTATCTTCTGGGAGAATCATAAGCCCCAAGGGAAGTGTTTATCTTTAGATCAGATTCCCAGACAGTCTTCAGGAAAACTCCCTCTTTCTCTCATGAGTCCCAAGGGAAGTGTTGATCTTTAGATCAGATTCCCAGACAGTCTTCAGGAAAACTCTTTCTCTCTCTCATGAGCCCCAAGGGAAGTGTTTATCTTTAGATCAGATTATCAGACAGGTCTGTTAGCTATAAATAGAAAGTCTTCAGGAATACTCTCTTTCTTTCATCCGGATATGGACCGTATGTAGAGGGAATTTCATAGTATGATTCCGATTTTGACACGATTATACAATCTACACTTTCTTTCTTATGGTTATACTAAACATTGGAGAAACAATTTACTTCTCTAATTTCAAGAATGTTTTGATTGTTAGAACTTATAACAGGTACTAAATTTCAGTATGTGCGCGGTTAATATCGCATTCCTTTTTAGTTGTGGATTTAAGAATACCGCATGAGAGCCCGGACTAAAGAGTCTCTCAAATAACTAGAATAATTTTGGTTGAGGAATGTCACTTAAAACCATAAGCAAATCACCATGAACTCCTTGCTTATGTTACAGGAACTTAAAACTTCTATTAAAAAAAAATCATGAACTAAATATATTTTGATCTTATTGACAAATGGATTCTTTCTACCTGCTAATGATTTGTGCTCGCTTCCTAAATGAAGAAAGAACTTTTTAAGATTGAAGGCCTTGATGCCATTGTTAAAAATCTGAGTTTTTATTGAGAAATATGAGGAGGAATTCTGTACTCTGAATGTTGTACTGCTGAGATAATTCTTAACTTGTTATTAAATATGTTTATTTGCATGCAGCTCTCCCTCTCTCGGAAATTAACCAGTTTTCTTATGGCCTGATGTTGGTTTTTATTTGAATACAAAAATAACTTATCTTGACAGCATCTGGATGCACAGATGTTCCCATTCTAATTAGTTGAATTTGATGCGCTGAAAAAGGGCTACTGTTTTCCATAGATTAAAGACTTGATAAAATTTAATATTGATTTCTTGTCATATCGGAAGCTGAAGTTTCTTATTTAAGCATGTGAACAAGAAAGAAGGTTTGATTCATTCTCCTTTAAGTTTGTTCTCTTCCTGCATAAAGATATGCAATCTGACAAATTCTTTTCATTTTCCACTCGTCTGATTTGCATCCTCTGATTTTTGGCTATTCTAAAAGACAGAATTTTTGGTAGATTTTGTTTGGTGTATAATAATAACTTAACAATGCTTTTGTAACGTTCTGCTCTTCCTTGGTTTCAGAGAGGACAAATGGCATTCCTCTTCTTGCATAAGTTGAATAAAATTACCCACTCAGAGCTTCCAAATAGGATACCACCATTGATGAACCTTGCTATTAGTAGAATCCAATAAAAAAAGTAAAATCTACAGCAATATCATCAATTAATTAACCCACTTCATATATCCCTCAGGCTGCATTTGATTCGGGGTGAAATAGGATTAATCCCGTAATCTTTGTTTTATTTTTAAGATTTTCTCGTTTGGTTGTCAGGTAATAAAATATTATGATAATATTTTATTACAAATAGTGTTTACTGTTGGTAATATTGGAGATACTGGGGTAATCTTAATTTTGACCTCAATCTTTTATCATTCTGGACACATTTGCCCGCATATGTCTACCAAATAACCATTACGTAGACCCACTACATTTGAGAATTTAGCTAAAACATCCCAGTTACAAAAACGTTTGAAAGTTAATAAAATACCTCTAGCCACCCAAGACCTCCATCGACTGCCGGCAAAAGTCATCATATTGGCGCAAGGTTGGAGGGATCTTGTCGATCATGCGTCGGTAAAGACGTTTGAAATGGCAAGATCTGGCTGTTTGACGACCAAAGATGTGACCGTGAAAAGACCATATGTTTGGCTGTGAAATAAGATTTGGCATTTTCATGGCCAGATTTGTGGCCGTTTCACAGCCACATCTTTGGCCGTGAAATAGCCACAGAAACGGCTAGATTTGGCTGTTTTCGGCCATGGGTCAGCTGGAAAAGGCCATACCGGCACACGACCAGCCCGATTTGGTCAATCGTGTGTCATTACGGCGGCTACCAACAATAGCTTGGGGTGGGTAGGGGTGATTTTGCTACAAATTAAAGTTTTATATAGCTCGAGTGTTTTAGCAAAATTTCAAATATAGGGGTTAAAAGAAATGATTAAAAAAATAATATTATATTATTATTTAAAAATGAGGGCAATTTAATAATTTATATAATATACCCACTCAATCATCCTCCCTACCAAACATATTAATATAACATATCCACAATTTATTCTAATCAACAAAACATATTTCTCTAAACATTTCCTGAACCAAACGCCTACCTCAAAATTAAACAAACTAAATCTTCAAATACCTCAAAATTAAACAAACTAAATCTTCAAATCTTTAGAATCACCACTGTTAGTAATATTAATCATGGATTAATGGCGCAATTCCTCTCCATACGTGAGAAGGCAAGCCAAAGATTTCATAATCTAAAGTCTAAACCAACACTGTAGGTTATTGTCTGGTGATGTTGCACATCCGAATCCAGTAAAATCTCTATATTTCAAATTTAACCAAAACTGTAAATCTCAAGACTCTTTTTCTAACATTCGGAAATTAGGACTGCATATGTCATGGGGATTTCTTCGTATAATTCCTATTTTTATACAATTCTGCAATTTACAGAGTCCCTTTTAACATGGAGCAAAGATCTCCTATTCGATTATATTTCTAAGTTCAAACCGAAGTTGGAATTGATTTACAAGTCTGCTATCTGGAAAACAAATTTGATTGTTTAGCGGTGGGATTCTGGATAGGTAATGAAACAATGAAGAGGAACTAGAACAAACCAAGGAGAATGAATTGCATCAACTTTAAGCCAAATCCATATCTTCACAGTGACATAATATTTCTAATATTGGTTAGAGTCCCGGAAAATCTTGCTTCTTATAAGAGTGTCTGTCAACTTTGGAAAAATATTATTGAAAGTTCTGCATTCTTGGAAGCTCGCTCCAAGTACTGGGAATCCAGAATGACAATTTCCGGTGAGTCCAGTTTGACTTCTTCTTTGTCTATTAAGATTTGTTCTGTTTCTCTTTTTGAATAAATCACTGAAGTATAATTACGTTTATACGAAGTTTATGGAATTCTTTTTAAAACTTCAACAGTCAAGTATCCCAACAACATCAAATCAGTGAGTCCTTGATGGGTCTTGATATTTATATGCCAAACTCTCTAATTAGTGAAGTAAAGAGAAATCGTTGTTGTGATACATAATCTGTATTGTATAGCTGATCCAGTCTTTTCTTTGTTTTGTTTGCAGGCTGTGGCAACCAAACATGTAACATGACCTAGCAGGACTCCTTCAAGGACCTTATATCACTTGAAATCTGACAAGAATAACATCTTGCTACATCCTAACAATTAGTTGTAGGACTAGTTTTAATCCTATCATCACGCCCTGTTCCTTTGATATTTTGCAAAGGGGAGATTAATTATTTGTTATCTTTCTTTCATGACTTCATTAACGCCGTGGCGGTATTATTTCTCCATTATTCAAAGCCATTTTTACTTTATTTTCACCAAAATTATTGATATTAAAGTGTTTCTTCTAAGAATGTACCCTTTTTATTCAATACATTCACAGAGGACCGTCCGAACTGACTTTTGGTGTAAAAAAGGATGTAATTTTGGTGACTTATTGGTTAACTGAGCGATGCTTTTGTAGCATTCATCACTAGTTAAATTGGTTCAGAAGAAGAACAAATACGATTCCACTTTCAATGAAGTTAGCATAAAACTCAGCCACTAGATAGCAAAGCCATTGGAACAATTAAATAAAACATTAATGTGATGAAAAATATCGCTAATCAATTAACCCCACTTGCTCACGATTTTGATACATGTCAAATTAAACAAAGCCTTCTGTAAACTGGGGACTGGGGAGATGGAATAAGGTGTTTTTGAATAGCCAAGAGAATAGAATATGCTACCGCTACTGTTCAAAAGCCGATGGCGACCAACAACGTGTTAATCAAATGTGGCTCTCCTTTCTTTTGATTGAATGAGCATGATGAGCATTTGCATGTCACAAAGCTTAAATTAGATTCTTCATTTACAGAGTTAAGCTTCAAGCACACTAAACATCTCTGTGATGTGGGATTTTTTTTTTTTATAAATATATTTTACAACACTGTGACAATAATTTGGAGGAGATTCTTTTTATAATTAGCAAGAGAAGATCTCAGTCACCTTCAAAAAGCAGTCAACATCGAAACATCATTGTCTGCGTAAAAAAAGATCCTAGCCGATGATTGGTCTAAGAGGGAACAGAATCAATCAATGATGATTCCAGGTTAGAAAGCACCTTATCATCGCTTTACACCATACCGGCCCAACTTAGGGAATAAATCATGTTCACTTTATGTGGCATTATAAAATCCCATCATCAGCTGTGTGGAATTGGAACTCAACCTCTCCACGCTTAAAAACTTATATATTTCCTTTGTTATGTTTCATTTCTTCTTATGTTTCTCGTTTTAATTTGTGGAGATGATATTGGTGAGGATAGCATAATCTGCATCCTGAGGTTTGGATCATCATATTTGTTGTATCTAGATCTTAGGTTGCAGATTAGGTTTTCCTTATTGACAATACAAAACTTTGTTATTGTATCTTTTTAGCTAATCTACTTGTGCATGATGGCTACACATATTCACCTACGGTTTGGTAAATTTTTCTAGGTTTATCCGTGCATTTGCATGTCGTTTTTTTTATTTCTTTCTTTCTTCTTCATTTAGGTTAGATTTGGCCCAGCCATGTTCTTGAAGGAGGCTGAAAGTTTTATATTGAAATCTTTTCAGTTTATCAGATATATTTCTAAAAAACCAGCTAGCATCATCTACAGTTTTGATGCTGTGTTGAAACAAAAAATATCCAATCCATGACTACCTATGGTATGAGATAAAGAATAATATTGGAAACTAGGAGGGATAATTAAGTTTCTATAGCTTAAATCATATGTTCTATGGATCGTTTTTCTTGGATTTTTGCAGCACTCCAATAGCCTCTTCTTTGCTTTCAGCCAAGTCCTTGCCATCCTTGAAAACAAGAAACTCCATCATCTCCACGCGGAAGAAAATGAAACTTCCACATGAATGTGTAATGCAGGATCCAAAGTCTTTCCCCACTACACAATGCCATGCTGGTCCATAAGCTTCGTCGAAGTTCTGTTTAGTCAGTGAGTATTAGTTCAGAATATATATTTTTCTTGAGTAAAAGCTCAACAATCACATCATATGTCTCTAGTTAATATGAACTTTGTGCCACAAAGAGATATACAGGACCCTTGAAAATCTTTTTCTGTTAGATTTTTTTTTTTTTTTTTTTTTTTTACTTTTTGCTTCAAAGGGGAAGAAACTCTGCAGGTAAATTTAATGCTGGAAATCAGAGTTCTAAGGAAACTTGCGACCTGGTCGCTACGTACACAAATAAAGCAAAGCAGATTGCATGATGACATCCTTAACTGTTGAAGATCAGAGAATAACTTAAAGGTGATCAGGTCTTGTGATTCGACAGTAAAGTGAAACTTCAGATCTTTTAATGCTTTGTTCTTCTTTTAAGAAAATCATCTTTCTATTTTGCTTCCTGCAGACATACTCACTTTTGATCCACTAGTTACTACTTTATCACTCTCATTATTTTTTTTAAAGCCACCAAACATTAACAAATATTTTTACATATATACTAATACTGCAGGAGAATATTCTGAGGATTAAAATAAGACCTGTTTGATGTAATGAGCAATTGATTGACAATCGGAGACCTCATGGAGATCGAGAGCCTGGTAAGCTAATTCCATCACATGGTTCTGCAACATCTCTGGCATGTCTGCCTCTCGCACCACAGCTTTTCCTTCCAACATCGTTGCAAACAGAACAAGGGAAGAGAAGGTGCTAAACTATAGTGAACAAATATTCAAGGCCTATAAATTCCAATATATAGTAAAAGAAGAAAATCTGGTGGTGGAGGTTAAAAGCCATAAAAAGATATTTTCTCTTTTCCACTTTCTCATTTTTCCTTATGAAGACCTGAAATTTGTTAGCATTAGAAACTGTTAAATCAATACAGCTGTAACATAAAATATCTTTCTGAGGGAATGATAGTATATGATTGCAACTTTATGCAATAGGGGAAGCAGCAAATACCCAGCAAGCATGCCACAAAACTCTGGGAATTCACATAGATATAAGGAGGTTTTGGACATTTTGGTTCTAAAAGGCTTTCTTCCTGCTGTTTGATATAAGACATACGACTGGTCATTCAGAAACTTGCAAAACAATTGCAGCCACAAGTGGTTGATTGCCTTTTGCTTTGTTGATGCTTTGTTAATTGGAAGTGGTCCATGGTTATGTTGCCAAGAGCAAATAGTTTTGAGCCAAAAAGGTTTGTTTGAACTCCAGCGTTTTGTGCGTGGTAATGCTTTTACACCAAGACCATTCGTGGAACCAGAAAAGGGACCTCACAGCATTCTTCTTTTGTAGCTTAATTGCCAAGCTCAGTTGAATATGTAAAGTTTTAAAAATTTGGACTAGCAGTCTACAGGAAGCGATGCTTATCATAAGCAGAAAACCCCTTTTCCAATTAAAACTAATGATCGGTGCCTTTGATTGTAAATAGCAAAAGTAATCAAACAGAGGAGTAAAATCATCACTACTAAATTAAACTAGCAAAACGTTTAGTTTAAGCTATAGTGGTTTTTACACTGTTTGGACCAGTTTCATAGCGAAAGAAGAAGGGGTTATTTGAACATGAAAAAGTTAGAACAGGTTTGGGCTAAGTGAATATGTAAACAACTAAATTTGGGGTCTTAATTTCTGGCATTTTCAGCTTCTGTTACTATAAATGATCGTTTCTCATTTGTTTAGCATTCAATATCTTGAAAAATAGCCTTAGCATCTCAGAAAAGCCATTAAAAAGAGGGAAAACTGAAAAAAATTTGAAGAATTCATTTCTCACTGTGATATAATACACAAAGGAATTTCAAGTCCTAAAGACAAATATGTTGGACTAAACCCTAAACTGAACTCAATATCAACATACTCAACTACATTATACTCCATACTTTTGATCTCAACAAAAGTGTCCAAAAATTGAAATCGCAAAAGAGCTACTTGGAAAAATTCTTTACCAAGATTACCCTACCTAATAAACCCAAAATTCCTGATAAAGAATTCTACCACTAAAACGCTAGGAAAACGCAACGTTTTCAAGATCCAAAAAACCTTTAATTTTCTGTTCCCCAAATTAACCCAAAAACCAATCAAACAGTAAAGAAGCCATAGATAAAAGCCCTTCTCTAATCACCTTGATCTAAGCAAGAACACACTGAACTCTTGACCCGGGTACTCATCTGGGTTAATCAAACGAAACGACTCCGAGTCAGCACTTCCCATCACGTGCTCATAATTCGCCCTCATGTACATGATCTCCTCCGCTTCCGAACCCGAAGTCCCGAACCCGGCTGGAATAACACCCGCACCAACAGTCGTGGACTCCATTGTCTTTAACATCAAACGATTCTGCCCGCTTGCTTTTCTCCGAACCGCAAAACCCACCTTCCGCCCATTACAGTACATTATCCAAACCGGTACAGATCTGAGCGGGCAAGAACAGAGTTCGGGTCGGGCGCACTCGAGAGCAATCCGTACAAGTCCGCAACGCATTTCTTTGACGAGCTGGTGAGTGGGAATGGAGAGTTCTAGGAGAAGAGAGGGTTTTGTAGATTGACGTTCGTGTTGAACGCAGAACCAGACATGGCCACGTCGTTGACCGAAGATGGTACCGATTACCATGGACTTGGAGGGGCGAGAGGAGGCAATTGGAAGAGAGGTGACGCTATCTTCGGGAGAGGTTGATTCTTGATCTTGGTTTGGGTTTTGATCTTCTTGATTAGCATTGGTGGTGGTGGAGGGTTCGTTGAAGTCGTCTCTTAAGGAGGTGCTGAATCGTTTCTTGAGAGGAGTTGTTTGCGCGGTGGAGGAAGTGGCGGAGTTGGGGAAGAGACAAGGGAGAAAGAATCGACGGAGAGCGTCGATCTTAGTCATTGCTATGGGTTGCTGAAGGCAGAGAATCAAGATTGAAGCTTGGAGAGTTGTAGCTCGATCTGGTTTTTGGAGGGTTTATGAAAAATATAAGGGCGGGAAGAAGTGAATATAGCCGTTAAGGTTCTTTCTTGTTTGGATTGGCAGGGGATAACTTCTCAGAGAGTGACACGTGTACAACCCAACTGTTGTCCAGTCTGTCTGGGTGGCACCCTGTTAATTACTTAATTAAGCTTGGATTTTACTAAACTCCTCTGTATCAAATTTAAGTCTCCAATTGTGGATTAAAATTTAAACTAAAGAAGAATTATTTTTCTAATATTATAAGTACTATAACTATATTTTACTTACATTAATAATATTTATATATCACACAATATTTTTCGTATTGAAAAAGACAATATAATATACAAATAATATTTTGTAAAAATGTTAACATTTCATGTTAATAAAAAATAACACAAAATATAATACCAACATAATCAAGTCAATATAACACAAGAGGAAGGAAGAAAGTTTCACTTATTTTCTTCTCAGTTCTCTCGCATATAATTGGCAAATACATTGATTTATGCACGAGTTAAATCCTATATATCAATTAAACTAAAACTGGAGATCATGACTGTGGTGGTGCTGCGTTAATCATCTATAAGATAAGTCTTGGTTTGGACACCTTGTTTTGAAAAAAAACTAAACTCTTAACACTAATTAAATAAATCAAATACTAATATTATCTATCTACGTGATAACTCCGATCTATAATAGAATACAAACAGCATAAAAATACTAATAAAATTTATATACTTAATTTAATTTCCAACAAGAACTCTAAATAAAGAAAGAAATGTAATAACATGAGGCGAAATTGTATAGTCTATGACCATGTACAACATGTCTGAGAGATGATGAAGAAGAGGAAGGACCCAAATTATTGATGTGGAACTTGAACATTAAAGTTAAACAGATTCTACATCTCCTGCTTTTCCTCCTTCGGAATTGGGATCTTTTTCTTTCGACAAAAAACGGTATGCGAAGACATTGAAATATATAAGATTTAATACTTCAATGACTGCAATCATGAAATAGAAATACTCCAGGTACTCTTTGTTAAGATCAGTACCACCAAGCCATGGAGCAGCTCCATTTTTCCAGTTATTCCATGATCACATTAACTAGAAGGAGTTCAAATAGCTTGCAATTGATAAGCCAGAAAGAATGCTCCGAACAGTCCTCATTGATTCTGGCAATTTTGTAGTTAAAAATTCCATAAGGCACAGCGGCAAAGGCTTCTGTCAAACCTGAGAGCAAAATTGTGGACCAGCTAAAATACTCAGAGATGACTTAAATGACTTTTGTTCTAAAGCCAGATCCTACGCTTCTTTTCAATAAAACCAGCTACCAATAAGCTGAGACTTGCCATCACAATGCCAGTGTTAATTCTTCCTCTCATTTGTCATTCTTCTTTTCTTTCCTGTCATTTTACGACAGAGGTACATAATACGTTCATAAATGAATATCCATGATGAGAGTGAAAGCATTGATACTAGCCCATCCAACCATGGTGGCATATTGAAACCCCCAATTATTGTATTAGTCTGAATTGCTTGAAGCATTCCAGTTGTGTTTATTTTGGTCCATGGCTATGAACAAATGATTCCTGCTACCCAAACTGGAAACATTCCTACCAACATTTTCAGTTGTTCCACTTGTAGCAGCTACATAACTTCCATTCATTCTTGGCCTGGCCTTGGTCATCCAATTCACTTGGATTAAGTATCACAGCAGCCTTGTCAAGGCACAAGAATCTATCACTGTGTGGAATATTTGTCGTCTCTGAGTCTGATGCGGGCAAAGGAGGATCGTAAAGGGGGTTCTGAAACTGAAGCAACAGTTACTTTGCGCTTCCTAAAAGCGGCTGTGATCACTTTTGCCATGTCAATAAAAACACTTCCTTGAGGCTCCTTGAGAATGTAAGTATGGTAGCCGATCAAGAAAATGATTATAGAGAGAAAAACAGCCGGTTGGTATGGCGAAGCCAAGAATCCAACTGACATTAGTCTGAATGTAGACAACCACAGTAAGAGCTACAATAAGGCCAAGTAAATGAAAAGTACCACCAATTGAAGAAGCTCTCTAGTTGATGCTTCCCCTTCTCTGTTGAGACATCAAATTGGTCAGCCCCAAAGGCAATGTGTGCAGGGTCTAATGCCTCCCGATCCAATGGCTAGTAATGCAGAGCAGCAAAGAGGATGCCTAGTTGCCAGTTCTCAGACTTTTGGCATTGACTTCCATTGCAGGGTGGCGGTCTAAAGTAGGTATGCATGCCGTCATGGTCATCTCCCATACCCTGTCAAATAAATCTCAGATTCTTAATATACCAGTCTTGTTCCAAGGTTCAAAGTAGAATTCTAAATTTCTAATGGATTATAATCAACAAAAGATACATATTTACATTAATTCATCCAAAGGCATGTGATGGTTATTTAATTGAACATTAAGACTATAATGAGAAATTAAAGAGAAATTAATTGAACATTAAAGATAATGATGACATTCCAGATCTTATTAAATTTGATATTATGGCATGAACATTTGTACCAGGAAAGAGGATATGAGCCGAAGAGGAGGGTGCGGAACCTGCCCAGGTATGTATCAGAATCAAAGCACCTGGTATAGCTGCCAAATTAGAGGTTCCAGACCAAATACTAACCACATTAACCAAAAGTAACCATCCATATTATATTTGGTATTAGATAAACTAATGTTGGCGATCAAACTCATCGAAGCCAACTTCTCGAACGTCTCTTTTCCTGAACAATACAAACAACAAACAATCCATGAAATGAAAATTTACGAAAAAAAAATAAATAAAATGTAATGATACCCAATGCAATGCTAGTTACAAAATGATTTCCATTTCATTACCCGGATATATTTTACGGCTCTCCATCCTCCTTTTGATCTTGTAGAAATATTAGGAGCAAACATATAAGGTGAAGGAAGTGAGTGAGAGCTTTGCCGAAAAGGAGTTGAATAAATGGGATCGTCTTCTTTCTCCATCTGTCCACCCCTCCTCCTTCCCTATTGCTTACAAAGTAAACTACTGAGCTGAGAGATGGTAATTCTATTTATTGTGTTATTTGTATGTCAACCTCATAAATGTGGATCCTATTTAGACTTTGCAGTTTGCACTAATTATCAAAGTTATCGGATTTTCTCTTTCTGTAGTAGGGACTTGATTCTTTAATAACACTGAAATTTCTGTTTTTGTAACAGCTTATACCGGACTATTATTTTAACAATTTTCTAGTTGCATTGCATTATGGATCATTAAAGTGAGAAAATGTTAAACCTGAATGTGGGTAAGAGAATTTTTTAATTGTTATATTAATTTTCATAACAACTGCTTTAAAACCCGGTTTGGCCTGTTTAATCGGGATCTGAAGCTTCATCGAGCCGGGTTAACATTTTTCCTATTCACCAAAACCCTAAATTTAGAATGATGATCGGCGAACAATTGAAGGCTAGATGTTGGGGCTTTTGAGAGAATGTGCCGATGAGTGCAACGTGGTGCAAAGTTGATCTCTGGTGAGTGAATCGTTGAAATGAAAAACCTGCCGCGCGACAACAACCGGCTTTTGCCAACGATTGCGAGGCTAACGGGGGTGGGTGAGGTGGTTTTGGTCGGGAGAAGAAGGGAGAATTTTTGGGGTGATGGGAGGTGTTGATGCCGACGTCGGTGAGATCTGACCTGAATGTTGACGCCATGTCAATGAGATCTAGCTGAAATCAAACCGATTTCGACTAGATCTAGTTCATCGCCATCAACCAATTGCCGTCGATTTGTAGTTGAGTGTGTTTGCTAAATTTCAAACCTATAGAGACTTAATTGTGATTTTTAAGGGTATTTGTTAATTTTTAAAGTTGTCACCCAATTTAACCGAGACCCAACAACTTTAACAGTTTCACCCCGGATTGGTTTTTTAAAACATTGGTCATAACCATTTGATCATCAATCAATGTCCTTTTTTTATCCTTTTACCTGAAAAGCTAGGCATATCTTTACTATCTTTAATCACATTTGTTTTTATAATAAATATGATCACCATGTGTGAAATAAAATAATGTTTAAAAAATTTAATGGTCTCGCCCATTTTATTTTTTTCAAGGAAATCAAACTTCTGATGCTTTTTTTTAGTCCTAGAACAATACAAGAGTAAACTGCCCTCTGCCTCTCTGCCTGTGCATGTAAATTGAGCATCGATTTAAGAGAACATGAGAGCCTTGCACGGTTACTGCACACCACTCCATCTAGCCCAGTCTACAAATTGCATGCCGCCATAAACATTGTTGGCAAATCTCACACCCACAGTGAATGCCATTGCAACGGGTGGCATCTGCTTTGCTACGGTGATGCTTCGACCAAGCGCTCAAGTCCGTTAATGATCTGATAGCGGGTATTGGACGAAACTGAAAGAAAAACACCTGCTACTAGGAGAAGAACAAGCCAATCATTGGAACAGAATAGCTAGATAAAACAGCATAACCTTTAACAAGATAAACAACAGAATGACAAGGCCAGACAGAAGAGATCTTCACTGTTTGCTAAATAATTGTCTTTCTATTCAAGAGCACAATCTCGATAAGTATTCATGGTAAAGGAATCCACATTGCAATGTCAAGTGGACATTTGGCAAGAATGAATAAACCCTCCAAATTAATTAAGATGATTGGCAAGAACAGTAATTCTACACCAACGTTATTTTCGAAACTTTTTCAAGATCATGTTAGGCTGATGATTGGCAAAAGTTGAAATAGAAAAGGCAGGCATACCCCAAAGTGCTGCACTCTTCAATAGAGGTGGAACAGGTATGTCCTCTTCTGATTTATTTAAGCTCCTGAAAGAGAAAAATACAGTGAGAAGTCATTCACTTCGAAAGAAAAGATGAAACTTAGAAATAAGCTATTTATGACAGAAAACATCAGAGCCGCTCTATTTCTGT